CGCGGACAGGACCTCGCACGGGCATCCATAGGCGCCCACGCGGAAAAAATTGCTTGCCCCCGCCCTTTTTCCTCCTTTCCCACGCATCTCCTACCACGCTATCCTAACCTGCCTTGTTCGAATATATAACAGCTGCTGTACGAGTATCATCCAGCCTGCCCGTCGATCATTTCAGAATATTCGAATAATGGACTGACTCGATTCAACCATATACCGCTATTAACCATCCGAGATTAGCATTCATATTTTCTTCCATTTAAATCAATTGGTTAGGGTGGGTTAGAAATGGGTTACAACGAGTTAGGATGGGTTACCAGTAAGTTAGCATAGATTAAAACAGGTTACCACAGGTTAGGATGAATTACCTGTCCATTCAGGTACAGGATGTTGGGACCAAAAGGGATCGACGGAGGACGTCATTTAAAAATGAAACTTCCTTTTCCATTTTCTCCTATGCCGCGTAGTTTCCGAGTTACGCGCCTCCAAACAACCGACCAATCAGAACGCAGCATTTTTATTTCCGCTGTATCTCCGGAACCACGGGTCGTACAAAAAAACTGTAAAGGAAGTTTCGTCGCGGAATCCGGTCCCCTATCCATCGCGCCGGTCAAGAACGCCCCCTACCTGAACACCGCCTGTCCGTTCAGGTACCGGAAGTTGGGACCCGGAGGGATCGACGACGGACGTCGTTTGGAAGCGAAACTTCCTTTTCCGTTTTCTCCTACGCCGCGTAGTTTCCGAGTTACGCCCCTCCAAAGAACCGACCAATCAGAGCGCAGCATTTTTGACCCGTCATATCTCCGAAACTACGGTCAGAGATGAGTTGGGAGATTGCTTACGGGCCAGATCGTGCGATCGCATCCTGTGCTGCGCTCTGGTTTCGTACGTTAGCTTTCACCTTTTTTTGCCCCCAAGGGCGACGCAATGAATTTCTGATAGGAGCTCGCGCACTCGCGATGGCGGTACCATCTACCAGTCGCCGTCGACGGCTGATGTACTCGTGATAGTAATACGATGCGACAATTAAGGATTTATTACCATCAAAAGCGAGCAGTGTCGGTAAGCGTAGGTAAGGCGCCACCGTCAACTGCCGCATGGTATTACCGTCACGAGTACGTGAGCCGCCATCAGCGACTGGTAGATGGTACTGCCATCGCGAGTGCGCGAGCTTCTATCAGAAATTCGTTGCGCCGCCCGAGGGAGCAAAAAAAGGTGAAAGCTAACGTACGAAACCAGAGGGCAGCACAGGATGCGATCGTACGATCCTGCCCGTAAGCAATCTCCCAACTCATCTCTGGGGACTATAGGAGATGATACGGACCGACATCGCGCGAGCAGTCTGCTGCAGTCTGCTGCAGTCTGCTGCAGTCTGCTGCAGTCTGCTGCAGTCTCCTAACTCATCTACGATTGGAAGGTACAACGCCTAGAAACAGGGCCGTCGTCCTACACGGAGGGAAGCGGCGAGTATGGGATGGTATGAGTGTGCCGGTAAGTAAGAGAGGACTGCGCCGGCCGGCGTGAACCTGCGGGGTGGCGCCCCTTGTGGCCGGCTGCCGAACCGAAGCCGCGTCCCCGTAAGGGCCCGCTGTCCGCGGTCGGTGCTTCCCGGCTCGCAGTCTCGCGCGTCGCTTCGTTTCGATCGGGTTACTCCGGTTTACTCGGTGTGACTCTCAGGGCGGGGAGGTACGTCGCTTCGAGTGGAAAATGAAGACATGAAGAAGTCGATTCGTCCGTGCACTAGCGTTCTCGCCCGATCTCGTGGCCACCCGTCGCCCTTGTCATTCCCATCCAAGATGCTGCTCTTGGTGTGCCTGCAGCTCGTCAATCTGCGTGAGTAGCCAATCTTTTTACTGCTCCTTTGCTGCGCGAGTCCACCCCGTGCAACGGGGAGTACGAAGCGAAACATCGCGTAGCGAGACGGCAACCACGTCTCGCCGGGCAAGCGGCAAGCGGCAAGCTCGGGAGCGAAGCGGTAGGCAACGGCAAGGAAGGGACGGAGATAGGAGGGAGCACGACGAGAGAGCTAGAGAAAAGGGGGTGAAGGAGAGGGTGAATAGGCGACGGACCGCCCTTCGAAAGTATCGGCGCCGGGTGGGTTTTGAACGCGTTACCTTCTACTCTGCCAATTAACGCCGCATCGAGGTCCTACTCGGTGGTTCCGCTCCGCGAGGGCGATTTTCCTCTTTTTCCCTTCTATCGTTTGACAACGTCGCAATAATTACGGCGCTTAATTGAGCCCTATTAGCGCTCAGGGAGGGGACCGTAGCGTGATTTCACCCCGTGCCGGGCCGGGCGCGAATTACCCCGTATAATAACGAGACGCGCGGAGAAGGTACGAGGTTCCCCGGCAGGCGTAGCCAATTGGACGACGTCGCCACTAGGGGAAAGCCGGCTCCTCTCGGAGTCTCGGCGACCAGGTGTTCGGCCGGGCCATCGGCGTTTCCTTCGGCTATGGCGGCTTTGGAAGTGGCTGTACCCGTTCCCGACCCATCCCGCGAGCGGCGTGGAGCGAGTTCGGGGGACGTCTACCTACACCTACCCAAGGTCGCCCGATGGAGACGACGGTATACGCGACTCGCGCCGCTATGCCCCTTCCTCTCCGCCTCTCCTCGTGGCACTCTTACTCAACCACTTCGCTATTCATCTTGGTCCGGCGGTCCTAATTACACGTCTCGGGTTACGGATGAGAAGGAAGGTCCCACAGTTCGGGGCGTCTTGCCCCGTGCAAGCGGGGGGGCGAGGGTGGCGCCGCGTTTTTTACACGGTTGCCACTAAAGGACTCCGTTGTTCGACGCCAGCGTGCCGCTTATGAATTTTGTATACGTCGAGCTTTATTCAGGCCGCGCACGGTCCAGAGTTGCACGGACGATGGAGTGCTTTTTTTCAAAACGCCCCCATCGCGGTGCCCTCGAAAAGGGCACGGGAAGGAGAAAAATTGTATTAGCCTTTTGATTCGTCAACCGGTGCCCACCCTCTCGCGACGCGGAGGTACGGGAGAGGGCCGCGAACGTAAAGGGGAGCGACCGCTTCGCGTAGCTATTTATCCATCGAATCGTTCTCTCCGTCGATTGCTCTCTCGGTGGACTCGGTCCCAGATCGCCGCGACGCCGACGTCCGGTCTCTGCTCGAGCGGGAAGGGGAGAGCGACTGCAGGGCATACGTACAACGCGACGGATCGTTCAATTTGCGTTAATGACCCCACTCTTCGTTCGATGACTGCCTCGAGTTGCCACGTCGATCGAACGTTATTTCGGCAGCCCTGGCCCATTGGTCTCGGATACTCGAGATCGCCTTGGAACGACGTCGGACCAGAGACGGGACCGGAAACTACTTTGTTGCGAACGAGTACGTTTATTTACGTACGGCGCGCTTTGATGGCCTCGGACGGAACACGTGGCCGTGCGAGATGAAAGGAGGAGCACACCCGCGTCGAATGGACGCAGCTCGAGTAGAGGAACGGGCTCCGATCGGCCACGTCCCTCGGCTCCGAGAGGCGCTTTCGGCGAATTCGCGCGATTAGGAGAGCTGCCGGCCGCGTCTCGTCCGTCCGGTTGACGGCACCTGAAAGCGTCGCGCCCAGACGACGCGAGGAGGCGGTTGCACCTCCGGGCTGGGAGACCCTCGTCGCGGCGCCGGATGCGCGCCCCGGTGCAGTCGGTCCTCGCGTCGGGGCGGTGGACAATGGGAAGGAGCGCAGCGCCGAGGGGCGTCGAGATGCCTTTCGCCTCTTGGCGCGATTCGAGGCGGAACGGAAATCGCTCGGTTTCTCGGGGGCCGGGGCTGTCGCGAGTCGGCGGGCTCGATTCGATCGCGTTCTTACGTCTCGGCCGGTCCGCGCAAAGAGGGTAATGGCGCTTCGTTATTCGTTAACGCGTCTTAGGACTCGGGCTTTCCGTGGAGCTTTTAGCGCGACCAGTCACATCAAAGGGGACGCTAGACCGAAAAGTCGCTTTCGGAACCTCGCCTCGTTTCGGGCATTGCCTTTGGACGCGGTAGGATGCGCCGAGAGCGACGTGCTTTGCGCACGCGAAACCTTGTCGGGCCCGAACGGAACTTTGACGACCTGCTCGCGAGATCGCTTCCTTCCGTACCGCGCTCGCGTCTCCTCACCGAACCTATGTTCGGGACGATGCGGGGAGAAGAATCGCCGGCTCCCCCGGCGATTTAATCGTAAATCGTTAGTTTGGACTCGAAACGACCGGCGCGTTCTTTTAATCCGATGATTGTAGTTGCCCGCTGTAACGAATGCGCCCATCGGTGGGTCGAGGCGACGCGCAACGGGATTCCTTTAAGATATTTGTCCGTCGGTGATCGAATTGATCGACTCTGCAGCGAGGAAAATCGCGATCGTTCGCGAGCGGGTTGTCCTCGAAATTGGGAGGATCTTGAAGGTCGCGGTCCCGGGGGTCTCTCGGGCCTCCGATGCCGATGTCGGCAGCTGCCGGCACGCGATGAGTCGGAATCACTCCTGGGAAATATGAGGCCCGGAGAGGCGAGGCCGCGGCTGGGTTTGCTCGGCCGAGGGTGAAAACGTCCCGCGAAGAACGCGAAGGCTCGAATCCATTAGGTGATCTTAGCAATCTTGATATTAACGTCTCTGGCGTCTCTCTTGTGCACCCTAGCGGGTTTCGATTCGACGTAGTCGAGCGTCAAATCTATTTCGCGAGAGCTCGGTCGGGCGTTTCCGCAGGCTTAATTGGAACGAGTCGCTCCGCGGGAGGGGCACGGGGGATGGATCGACGCTGAGGGCCGTTTCCACTCGTCGAAATCGTCTCGTTCGTTAGGCAAGCGCCCTTCGCCGTCTTAATACCAGTCCAAGATTGCCGATTTTTGCCCACGCTGCGCTGGCGCCGCAGCTTCCGGATGTCGCTAACTCCCGATGTGTCGCCATTGCAGTCGCACCGATCGTCGCCCAGGACGGCGGCCTCTTCTTCTCCGTGAGTCCCGCCGATCATTCCGTGGTCGAGGGCTTTCCGGTTCGGCTGAGGTGCGAAGCTCATCCGAGGTCGGGGGTCAAGTACTCGTGGAAGATCGAGGGACAGCCCCTGGCCCCCAGCCCGCGAAGACACCAAGAGGGCGGCGATCTCGTCATCACTAGGGTCAACCGCATCCTGGACAGCGGGAATTTCGTCTGCGTCGCGACGCAACAGAAGACCGGATACTCCATCGAGAGCTCGCCAGCCAAGATCGACGTCCAATGTGAGTCTTCGACGTCTTTCCGTCTGATTTACCCGCGCGAATCGTGGTCCAAAGGTGGAGGGTCCGCGACCGGAGAGGCGTCGGGGAGATTATCCGAGCGGTATCAATTAAACGGAATAACTCGCGGCCGTGTCGTGTCTGGAGTCGTGGTTTTTAATGACTCGAAAACGTCGAAGGATCGGCTCCGTGAATGCCCGTCCTCGACTGCGAGCCAGGAATCATTTTCGCTGGTAGTTTTCTTTTTCCTTATATCCGAAATGCATGGAAAACGCGCTTTCCGCGCCGAGGTTGCGAAAAGAAAAAAAAAAACTTGCACGAGTGTATTGAATGAGTAATGAAGAAATTTGAAAAAAAGAGAAAAGCCACGTATTAAATCAAGAGAGTCGCCGGGCGTCGTTAGCGCCCCGACGCCTCGTTATCATGTATCGTTTCATAATTATTATTACACGCGCCACAGTGGAGTGCACTGCCGCGAGTACATTTAACTTGTACGTTCGCACTACCCGTCGCCTCCACCGATCCTTTAATAATTGCAATAAAAATAATAATAACTGGGATTTTTCTCGTGCCGCGAAAATGCGAAACTGCGAAACTGCGAAACTGCGAAATGAGTCGTTGCTCCATAAAGAATTCGCTGCCGGCCCGGGGTCGATCGATTCGATGGTAATTGCCGCGCAAAACACTCGTCACGATCGTTGACTCGCGTGGACGCGATAATCACGCTCAGACATTCTGTTAATTATGATCGATCGCACACGATTGGGTAGTGCAATTCCCCGGGGAGTATCCGTCTTGATTAGCTCCGCGAAGGGGTGCATCGACTCCTCTGGAGAGTCATCAACCTGTGACGATAGTATACTTGTATTTTTTGCATCGGCGGAAAATTGAAGAATCGTCGTCGTACGACGCGATCGCGATTCCTTCGGCTAGTGGTTGAAAAAGCCTCCGTGTCGATACTCGCGCCGACGCGATACGCGACACGTGTGTCTTCGGTATGTGCAAAATAGTCGTCAAATTGAGCTGGTCGCTTCGTTATCGGTGAAACTTTCGTCGGCAAAATGGTTCGGACGCATTGTTGTCGATTTAGGCGTCACGACGATGCGGAGTGGGTAGTGTTTGACGTCGCAATTAACCACTGGTGCAGGTATTTTCCAACTGCAGAACTCGTATTGCTTTCCAAGTTTGCACCCTTGTCCCAAGAGTGTGTACTTTTCACGACCGTGATGGAGCTCCCGCAGGAAATCCTCCGCTTTTTCGAAAGGCCGAACCGCGGCCTCGCTCATTAAAACTCCATTTCCCAAGGTAGACCCAGGTGCTGGCAGTTCCTGGATCTCCATGGAGGCCTTGAGAAACGGCGGCCCGACGCAAGAGGGCGCGTTAGTCCGTTATCGGTAATTCCTCGAAAGTCGAGTCGAGCCGGGCCGACTCGAGTCAAGCCGAGCCGGGCGCGGATACTCTCGTAGCTAGAACTCAATTCAGCGGGAGGGTGTGCTTGCATTTTCATTGTCTCGCTTCCATGGCTTCACGTCGGGACTCCGGGAGTAAGCTAATCGTTGAGCTTGCCTGAAGCCGCTGCATTTTTAAAACGCACCACTACACGCGGCGCGAGCATTGTGCCGGCGGAATTGCATGCATGCGCTTAACGTTCGTAGGTCGTGAGCTCGAATCCCGGTACCAGCCATGCCAACCGGAGACGTCTCGGGTGCGACGAGCAAAAGCCCGGTCGAACGTTCAAGAGGACCTTCACACGAAGGAATTTCGATCCGTTTAGCGATAACCCAACGATATTCCTCTGATACACGTACGACTTTCCTGACCAGATTGCGTTCCGCATTTTTCGGCGACCCAAGAGTTTTTCGTTCCTCGTGTCCTCGCAAGACGCGCCGCGGCATCGAATACTTGACAGTCTCGGTAGACACTCGCGGCAGAGAGAACGCGGTGGGCGGAGGATCGCGACTAATTAGTGAAACTGAATAAAGTTAATTAGTAAAGAGTACGATTAATGCAAAGATTCGCGAGGTGCATTCAATCGGAGGCACTCGGTGCCCCCAACGTCGCGGCGCCGGTTTGTGGGAGGTCTCTTTTCATCTTCGCCACCTCTCGAGTCATCTCGCGAGTCATTTCGCGAGTCATCTCAGCGAACCATCTCGCGAGCGGCCCGACCCTCGCCTCCAAATCGGAGATTCGGGTATGCCCCTTTCCTCGTTTTAAAGATCCACGGGTTCTCTGAAACGGTCAGTGGACGCACGGGCGTGCTCGCCGGTCCTTCGCGCGAGAATCGTTGCGAGTCCGTTTATCTTGGCCCGTGCGTTGCGCGTTCGGCCAACAAATCGCGCGTAAATCGCGCGTAAATTGCCGACACCGACATCGACGCAATCGAAAGTTTGGGGACGCGTCTCGTCGATCCGCGACGTCTCTTTCGCGGCCACCCGCGGATGGCAATGCACCGGATCGAAGAGACGCCGGGGGTAGGGGTGGGTTCGCGAGAAAGGTCGAGACATCATTTTCGAGTTTTCAACGGCGCGGCCTTTCCTTTTGTTCCCGATAATCTTGAGGATCCGATCCGCCCTTATAGTTTCGCGTCTGCCCCCTCGCTCTTTGCCTCTTTGGATGGAATCGCGGATAACTCGCGCGTTAGCTATCGTTGAGAAGTCGAGGCGACAACTCGGCGAAAAGGGAACGCCGTCGAACGCTGCATCGCAACACTTGAATCCATTTAAAAGGTAAAAGGGGCGAACTTAATGACATCTGATCCTCGTACCGGATATCCCCTCGGCGGTTGTGCAATTTTCGGGTACGTAATCGACTGGCGGTCAATTTCCTGACGGTGCAAGGTAGAGGGGAGATGTACGCGGTCGATCGGTGAATCGAACGAATGTCGGGGTTGCGACTTACCCAATGATAAACTCGGGCCTTCTCCGTCTATCCTGGGATTACACCATTTAGAGACGTCGGGTACACCCGTTACATTCAAATGTACGTAAAAAAAGCGTCTACGTACATGCATGCGCATGTACGAAGAGAGACGTCGAGGGACGGAGAGAGAAAACCACGAGAGGGTGGCAGTGTATTGCGAACGTGCCCCGAGTGCCAATCTTGAAAACCACTCTACGCGGAATACAAAAACCAGGAGCTGGTAATTATTTTCGATGGAAGAACGACGGAAGGGCGGTCGTTGCGAACCATGGAGCAGGCAAGAATGAACCCTGTGCGCGCTTATCTCACGATCGGAGTCCTGGAGGATGGATTAGTGATTAAATCGCTTCCCAGGTTCCGGGCGCGACCCTCGCGTCTGCTTAAAGGAAAGAAAAAGTCGTTCTTAAAATTCGTATTCGCGGGCTAAACGTTTCGCGAGTACGACTCTCCTTTGAACGTGCCGTTCCCACGTATTCGGGAGCATCTGCTTCGTTTCGGCGCGAGTTCGCGAATGTCGCTTTTCGATATTTCCGCGGCATAGGTTTTGGCAGCAAACCGACGCGCTGCCCAGTGGACACCCTGGGTGTTTTCGGCGGAGTGAAAAGATTACGCGTCTATCTCCCGTTTTCCGAGGGCACTTGCATATCGCGATTCCGGAAAGCAGCGCTTCGGGGAGAGAGCGGTCGGGTGCCGATTGTGCGGACAGCGCGGTGAGCTCCGAGTGATAAAATAGCTGAAAATAGGGTTTCGTATCTGCGGGCCCGAACGATAGAGCACGACGGGTTACGAAAACGTCGTGCTGCCAGTTCGGTGTACGGCTTCCTTATTTCGTCGGTCTTGGAACCTGTCCTTCATTTTCTTCCTTGCAAGGTTATCTGGTCGTTAGTGCGAGGAGGGCACTGAGTGCTCCAAGTCGCCGACCATTATATAGAGGACTCCTCGGTCTCACGAGGAGGACTGCTTTGCTTAAAGATGCTTCCGCTCGGGAAGGATGGAATAATGGCGGCCTTTGTCGAGGAAAACATCGAATTTCGAACCGCCGGATGGTACTCGGCAATTCTGCCGAGGTTGTACGTTCTCCGGAAACTCGCTGGCGGAAATCGGAACGAGCAGAGAGTAATGAGCGTTTCGCTCCCTTTTCCAGTTTTCCTCCGCCGATTTTCGAGGTCTGGTCGAGGGCCGAGGAAACGTTCGAGAGAGTAAGCACTCTCGCCGGTGTCCCGTCCTTTTTAGCGAAAATGGGAAGGGTGGTCTTCGTATCCACGAGCTCGGCCAACCGTTAGCGGACCGGTGAGTTTGGGTCGTAAAGCCACGGGAGAGTTGGGCGATAACGGGTACCGACTCCGAATACCGACCGAACGTTGCATCGCTTAAATGACACACCTGGTCCAAAATGAATCGTAGTCTGGTGTCGTTTAAGTGGACGTAGCTGGAAGTAGTCGGGGAAGCCGTCGGGATTGTGCGCGGAATAACGACCGCGTCGCGTTCTTCCGAGTGTTGCTTCCTCTAAGTTTTCGAGGCTCACGTGTCCCGGTCGAAAGCTAAGAAAACACTCGAGGAGAAGGAGGAGGAGCCGCGTTCGCCAGTTTTTCGCTTTTACGCCCTCCGGGACTCGAGGTGGTGTCTCGAGGTGCCCCCCTACCCCTGACTCAGAGAACGAACGCTCACGCTTTCGACTAATTATTCAAAATTTCCTCGCTTCATCTCGCTCCCCTCTTGAGTTCTCATCGATACGCTTTCCGCTGTCTGTCCGCTCGAGCCGCGGGAAGCGGGCCGAAAGCGGGCCGAAAGCGGGCCGAAAGCTCGCGCGATCGGGATATGCACGCCGCCCATCGTAACGTGAGAGAAGCTTCGTCTTGCGTTTACGGTCGAAATAACGGACGCGTTATTCCCCGGGTAACGGTACAGGGAGGGCACCCAAGATTCGGGGCCTTTGATTCGGCGAAAACATGGAGCAACGGCAGGGTCTTTTGAAAACGTTGCTTACCTAACGATGGAGTCGGTCGAGGCGCAGGACCGTAAGACGCAGAGGGAGGAAAAGGGTCGCCCGAGAAGGAACTTCCGAGCTTTCGACTCCTGCCGAATGTCCCGCGACTCGTGGGTTCTGGACCGGCGTCGATTACGGGTCAGCGACTCGGGTTACGGGGTACATGCAGCAGACAAGAGAGCGTACAGGCATGGTTCTCGAGAGCCCATAAAACTTTATGGTGCGTTTGCATCGACCGACCCTCTCCCCTTGCTTGCCATCCCCATGGCAACGAGCGACCCCTGAGCAGCCAGCCTGCATCTCACGAATTTCCCCTGGATCTGATCTCTCATTGGCGTTTGCCCTTGCGGACAACTCGTTCGGCGAGATCGGGCGAGATCGACGGAATCGCCGCCTTTTCGTTGCCGGAAATGACGCGTGCACCCTTGTCCATTCTCCTCGACGTATCGTTTCCTTTTCTCTGCCCGATTTTCTTCCCTTTTCCGTAGCAAACGAAATCAGGGCAAAAGATAGAATGCCTAATTAGTCGGTGAACGAATCGTTGGCATCGAGAAGTGACGCGCATTCGTAGGTGAAAGTTGTTCCAAGTAGCGTCTACCATCTATCGAGGACGAAAGGGGGTACGCAAAGGGTTCGCGTTCGTTTCCCTAGGATCGTTTTCGGGTACCCTCGCTCCTTTCGTCCGCCGTCTCGACTTGTCTCGAAATTCTCGATGACCTTCGAGTTCCTCTACGTAACCGGGCCGTCTCCGAATCAACCGCGCCTGAATCGACCAGAAGGATCGAACTCGGTGCGAGAACCCGGTCCAACCTTGAACGTCGGTGTGGTAGTCGGTGGTAGCCACGCACGCACGCGCGCAGGTGCGTACGAGTCCCGCGTGTGCGCCGTGGGTGTTTACACGAAAGTTAATCTCGCCGGGGATGATAATAATAAACGTTGCTCTCTCTATGCGCGGGCGGCGGTTCCTTTGATCTTTCGCTTCGTTTGTGCGTTTAAACACGGCTTTCCGAGTAGAGGCAGGAGAGAAAAGCGGCTCGAGTGGCCGGGTAAAACCTTGTACAGGCCTCCAGACCTCAGATGCAAAGTGAGTTCCCCGATTGCAAACGACTCTCCCTCCTGGCCTCTCGCTCGCTCGCCCGAGCTCTGTCTCCGCCCCGTCCTGCTCGCGCGACTTCGGCTTTGTCACGCTCTTTATTGTCGTATTGTCCCCCGCGGACTCTTGAATCTACTTTGGAGGATACCTCCTCGTGATTAATGGATTTTAATGGTCTTAATGGCGAGGGTATACAGCTATTCGTTAATAATTATCCAAGTCAAGATCGCGGCGATGCCTTGGCGCGCGCACAAGGTCCGTCTCGATCAGGACCGAAAGGAGCACGATCGAGTGGCTGCTCGGAGGAAAGCGCTTTGTCTTTTTTCTTCTTTCGGACCAAGCTTTTCGTGGTAAACTCGCTCGTGAAAGGTGAAAGAAATACGAAACCCACTCAAAGGCCCATGTTTCTTTCTCTGTTTTAGGGATCAGCGAGTCGAGCGTGCAGCTGCAGTTGCCGAAACTGCCGTCGTTGATTCACGCTGGCGGAGAGGTGGAACTACGTTGTCACGTTGACGGTTCCGGAGACATGCGATACGAGTGGTTTAAGTTAGTGAATAAAAATTCGTTATTTCATGGAACACGGGTCGAATAAGATATGGATGGACCTATGACAGGGGATTCTTCCATTCCACGTACAAGAGTTCCCGAATTTCATTACGGGGTCGCGATTCGTCGGGTGACGCTTCTCCGACACTCCCGCCTTTTCCTGCGTGGGCACGCGTTCGTGGAGTTTCTCAAAAAATTCTTGAGACATTACGTTTTTAAATATATCTTGCACATTATCTCGGTTCATTTTGACTACGCCTATGATATATATCCCAGAGAAATTGTTGATCAACCCGTTCTATCTTGATCGGGATGTACACGTTGAACCGCGAATGCGTGAGTTAATGGAACGACTCGATCTATTCGGTTCCGTTTCCAAGCGTGAAACGAAACTGAATTATCCGGATTTCGTTCTTAGCGTGGAGCCGAACCCCTACGAGTGAATCGGAAATTGATAGGGAGTATAGGGACCCTTTCAATGGATTCCTCTTCCGGTTTCAACTTAACGCGACGTCGGGGTATTGCGAGCGACCCTGCCGTAGTAAAGCGCGCTACGTATTTAAGCAATCTCGTCGCTTTTGATTCGCGGCGTCGTCTAACGGACTGCTTTGAAAAAGTGCCTACCCGCTAGTAACGTAACCGTGCCATATTTCGATAAAACATACGGCACTGGGATTTGCTTGGCGACGCGACGTCGCGGGTCCCCTCTGTGACCGTTGATTCTCGATTAGTTCCGATATGCAACTGTAGAGAAACATGGTAGAAATTAACAGAGACATCGTGACGGTTACGTGGCATTAATGAATTGAAATGCTCTTTCTCCAGAAATACGAAGAGTGTGGTGAAAAGTGATCGGATTGAAATAAAGAAGAAGAAGCTGTACATTCACAGAGCCAGTTCCGAAGATAATGGAGTCTATACGTGTTTGGCTCGTAACGAAGCTGGCTCTTCCCCAATCATCGAAAGTTTCCCTCTGATGATTTATGCGAACGAGACTGCAATCATCAAGATGGTGCCTCAGGATTTAATCGTGAAACGCGGCGAACCCGCTGTTATGCATTGCACATACGAAGATGCCGATGTCGTACAGTGGTTCTTTAAAGACATCGGTCCTTTGGAGTCAGATGACGAAAAGGTCATATATGAAAACGGTACATTGGTTATCAAAGAGGCGGAGCATAAAGACCAAGGATTTTATTCTTGCCACGGTCTGAAGGGCGAAACTATACAAGTCTATTCGGCTGAATTGCAAATTGCCTGTAAGATATGTTGCTTATACCATTTCTATACGTACACGCATTTGTGACGGTTTTTGGTTATTTGGTTAATTGATTATTCGATTATTCGAAGATAGGGAGTTTCTTTCCAACGAGATTTTTAGATCTTGCGAGGACAAGGGTTTCGATTTGGTTTCGATGACGTTTGATTTGTTTCAGACCTGAGGAACTTATCCATTGCTTCCTTCGAACCGACTCTGGTGAATCAATTGGCGATCGTCGGTGAGAATCAGGAGCTTCAGGTCAGTTGCCTGGAACCCGCGGGACTTCCGACACCAAAAGTGTATTGGAAGGATCCTAGAGGACACATTATCAGTGATTCCGGACAAGTACGGGTCCAGGATAATACGTTGATCATCGCTAAGGCCAGAGTAGGCGAGGACGATGGAAACTACACTTGCGTAGCGGAAAATTCTGCCGGAGAAACGGAGATGGATGTACAGGTTGTCATATCTAGTAGGTAACATTAGATCACCTTAACGATGGAACTTTGTACATGTACGGGGCTTATGAACCTGACGAACCTAGGCTTACATTTGACACCTCGTTTCAGCGCCAGCAATGCTGGTCAGTTCCTCGGAGTCAGTGACCATAATGGAGGGTGATCCTGCCAACCTTACGTGTTCGTACGTCGGCATGGAACCACCGATCACGAGTATACGTTGGTTAAAAGACGGTGAACCTTTAAAGGAAACTGGCGGGCCTACCAGACATCGCGTTACCGATCACCACGGAAACGTAACCCTACACTTCAAAAGCACCGATCTCTCCGATAAGGGAGCTTACGCATGTGAGGTTTCCACGAAGGGTTTTGCACCTGCACTCGGCAAGGAGACGATTTTGACCGTCAAGGAGAAACTGAAATTCTCACCGCCCCCAGTCGATAAGAGATTAGAACTGGGTTCTACCATTAAAGTGTCCTGCAAGGCCCAAGGTGCAACACCGCCCATTGTGAAATGGGTGAACGAGAACAATACCGAAGAATTTCCTAGTCACGTCCAAGATATTCACGGAACCCTGCATTTTAACGGAGTCGTCGAGGAGGACAAGGGACGTTACACTTGCATAGCGACCAATGCGCAAGGCTCTATAAATCACACCATTACCATCGACGTTGTGAGTAAGTACGAAGTTGAATTAAAAGATTTGTCACTTTTAGGGTCATGTAAACCTCGTTTCAAAAGTGTGCGGTATTAATTCGGTATTCTTCCAAAGTTGCTCCAAAATTTACAATCCAACCGCAAAATCCTACCGAAGCGATCGAGGGCTATCCAGTGATGCTGCATTGTGCTGCGGATGGCGATCCAAAGCCCACCATTCAGTGGGATAAAGATTCCAAAATGAACAATTTGGACAGTCCAAGGTTCGAGGTGCTATCCAATGGCAGTCTTTATATTAACGAGGTACATCTGGGAGATGAAGGCAAATACGGTTGCACAGCAGGAAACAGCGGAGGTCTTAAGCGAGAAGAGGTTCAACTGATCGTGAAAGGTATTTCGTGCATTTTCACTCACATTTTATCGTTAGCTTATTACTGGCAAAGTTTACCAATCTGTCGGATTTTACAGCCGGCGATGGATATCGATCCGATATGGACTTAGATGCAGGCGACGACGGATCGATGATGACTAAAACAGTGACGATTACACTCGGTGCTGCTGCTGCATACATGGTGCTGGTCGTTGGTTTAATGTTGTATTGTCGATATCGCCGGCGCCGTAGGAAACAGCAGTATTTGCAGGAACAAGCAGAAGGTATCGTTGTACAAAGCCTTGCCAATAAGTGTTCCGTTAGGGTCTCGTAGCTTCAGCGGATGCTGTTACTTGCGTAGGAATTGACTCTTACCATAAGTAAGGCTTATCTCAATGAACTTGTACGGATTTGTATTTATTCTTTTTTCTTTTTTGTTTTTTTTTTATAGAAAAATTGGAGAATGGGGACGTCCAGGAAGAGCAGACCGAGTTAAAGGAGACCAGTCACAATTCGAATAAGAAAAGAGAAGCTCGTGATTCACACAAGAGCGATGGCGCAGATACGGCTCAGAGTCAAAGCAGCAGTCAATCGAAGAAGTCCAAGTCAAATTATGACAAAATAGCTGCTTCCAGGAGTAATCTTAAAGAACTGAAGCCCCTAGGCCGAGGAGAATTCGGTGATATCTTTGTATCGAAATATCAGATAGACGTTGATAAGGAAACCTTGGTTATGGTTAAGAGTTTAGTACACACTAAAGACGAGACCGCATTGCAAGAATTTAAACGACATTTGGATTTGTTCCACAAGTTGAATCATGAGAACGTGGCAAAGTTAATCGGTCTTTGTAGGGATGAGGAGCCTGATTATATGATCCTGGAGTACACAGATTGGGGAGATCTCAAGCAATTCTTGATTGCATCTAGAAAGGATAGCTCTTCCAGCCCTACTCACGAACCGAAGCCTCGTGCCCCTCAATTGTCCGTAGCTCAAATATTGTCCTTGGCCAATCAAGTGGCTCGAGGTTTAAAACATTTGGCCGACAATCGTCTCGTTCACAAGGATATAGCAACGCGAAACTGCTTAATAGCTAGCAATCTTACCATCAAAATTTCTTTGCCATGTATGACCAAAGAACCGTACCATCAAGAGTACGCTAAACATCGTAACCAAGTGATACCACTCAGATGGTTGCCATACGAAGCCGTATACGAGGATGAGTACTCGACGAAGAGCGACGTATATTCTTTTTCTTGCCTCTTGTGGGAAATCTTCCATCAGGGCGAGTTACCTTTTAATAAACTCAACGACGATTCCGTACTTTCGCAACTTAAAGCGCAAACCTTGGCATGGAAAGCACACAAAGCAGCGCCTCCTGCCTTGCAAGAGTTACAAGCATCCTGTTGGGCTTACGATCCTAGGGAGAGGCCTACTTTCGACGAAGTGGTTTCGAAAATAGGTGAAATCGTTGTAGACAGTTGTCTATAGTTTGTTGCCTGACGAGACGAAATCGAGATAGTATACTATTAAAAGGCCAGAAATCCAAGAACGTACGAAATGCTACAGAACGCGATATTTATTTCTTTTACTTTCGTCAAATGCATTTTAGAAATTGCAATAGATCGAAGTTTCATAAACGTCGCCTTCCAAGTGTCTTGCCTTTCCAGCGACACAACGCGTTTTAAACCGGTATTATACGTCGCGGGCAACAAACGCCTCCTGCACGGTCGGCCTAATAACGATGCAAAGTGTGGATAGAAATAATTAAACGAAACCGCTCACGTACTAGCTACTCGTCAACCGAATACAACGTCGATCTATTTTGGAGCCATTGGAATGCTTAAGAATATTAGCAATAAGGGCAGGATATCGTGCAATTCTTGTGAAATTGATTTCGTGATTTCATAAGAGATTTTCGACTGCGAGCAAACGAATGCTTACGGTTAGCATACGATTGCAAATCATATTACGGTTAGCGTGGTAAACTTGAAAGGTTGGTTGCAAAATGACGATAACATTAAGGATAATCATACGTAACCGTCTATTCCACGCAGTTTACGAAAATGTTCAGTCTTCGGTTTCATCGATCGAAGAGAGAACGAAGTCAGTTGCGTTCTCGTGTCATTTTTCAATTATTTAGGAAAGACGAATGCTTCATACCTCAATATTTATTCCCTGTAGCACTTTCGTTAAAACATCGTTTTCTATTCCACTTTAATCATCAGTCATTTTTAGACGGTTTTTAAACGATGACGCCGTCAGAGTGAGGAAGCGTCGTCTAGGCTAATCGTAATACAGTATTTTATAGCGTCCACTAGAGCGATAAGAATATTTATTTGTAATAGAAACACCGTTCCAGTGACTGCTCTCGTCGAGTATAGAGTCTAGACAGACCCAGCATTAGCTACGCTATCGTAAACTTGACAGAATATATAGTATTCAGTGTCGTTATTAATATTAAGAGTAATCATTTAACACGAAATACTCAGAAGAGAAATTATCGATACACGATTGCCGAACGCCATCGAACATTTTTCAGTGAGATATACACTTTCCAGAGACTCAAAGACTGCTCTATCGGTGATCAGAAGTGCTCGACTTATATACGATCCACGGAATCAATCGAATCATTACGTATGCAGTATGAAAGTACGAAACCATCGGGAACTAAACGATAACTAATCGCCATGTGCTGAATCCCACATGCGATTTCCAATCGAAAAAAATTGTTTAGAAAAGATCGGTAATTCATATTTACACACGATGGAAGGCGAAACGGTATTTGTACGAAAACGAACACGTACGTACATATATATTGAAATTCCGATGCAAAGAACGGTTAACGATCAACGAAACCGCCATCGTTAATCATGTGCTGACTAGAATTTTGCAACGCGTCATATAATTTGATAATTCAGGTATCGTCGAGATCGTACGACATATTACGCATTTTCTCATGCAAAGACGAACGCAAGTAATCCATTGAATCGGGGACTGCCGTTTACAACGTATTCGTCAAATCCAAATGGATCTATTTCAGGTACAAATATTTAGAATGGAAGCGAAATCTCTGCCGTTAATTACGAAGCGTTGAGATATCTGGATACCCGATGTATCCTTTCGATCGGTTCATCGATGTACACAACGAAAATAATGCCAGTTCTACACGTAGTTCTTATCGAACTCAGTGGAACGTGTCGATAACGAACAGCAACGTGGATGCTATTAATTATAGAACATTAATTCATTTATTACAATGCGTCTAATCGCAGATCAAAGTATCGATAATCGTATGGCCTTAGCGGGGGCTATTAAATGTAAATAAGGCTTAACTTCGTATGTCTAAGCTCCTGCTTTTTGCATGCGTGACGCGTGATATCGTCGAGTTATGTGTGCTTCACGCAAGGAGTAGCTTAATCGATCACGGTATCATATGTATAAGTAAGGCGCGTGTACGCGGTGTAATGCGACCACGAACAATTTATCCGATTTCGCAGTGACTTACAATATACATGGCCAAAATCTTAAAGGTACAAACCAATGGCAGTAACACTCGGTGAAACGCATCTTAGGCAGTACTGGTAACGACAAGACCAATCGGTACAATTCACATTTACATTAAGTACTTATCGTATGCAATAGTTCGCGCAAGAAATATATATATCTACACCGATAAGACACGAACACTGCCAAGCATACCCATGTATCATTGAATCGTAACTATAGTCATTACAAATTCTTTGGTGCATTTTCGTGTTGAATGTGCAGTTACGGTGTAGTTATTTTTCCTTTTTTTTGCTTTGATACGTTATTATAACCTGTGAAACGCATTGGCTTACAGCACACAGGATTCCACGTCAGTCTTGTTTGGCAGTTTAATAATGTAATCGTTTCCACATATGCAATTTATGCGAGAAACGGCTAACGAGTATTTACTTTTATAAGTATCAGTTAATTACAGTGTTTAACCACTTTTGCGATTATGTAGTGCAGTGTAGATAAGATCTTCATACCACTCACGCTGGAAATCGATCGACGTATACAAATTGAATATTAAAAAATATGACAGAAAGGCAAAACCTCGGCATGTTTATCTAGTCACTTATGACAATGCGAAATGATGAGTGAAAGCGACTTCGTTTATACGATGTTCATATCCTAGGCAGGCAAAAACAGCTTTTCTTTAAGGTATTCTGTAAATATTTGTACTTTTTTAACAATTATATACCTGTGAATTTATTAAACAGTACGTGGTACAATGAAATAAAAATGATCCGAACAGAATATCAAGCATGAAAGGTCGATTTCTTATCATCATGGCAGGAGAACGGGTGGCAACAGATTTTTCTTTCTGAGGTCGAATAAAGTCAAACATTATTCAAGTTCCTTTACCATTTCTGTCAACGACCCGTAGCAGCAGAGATGAGTTGGGAGATTGCTCACGGGCAGGATCGTGCGATCGCATCCTGTGCTACCCTCTGGTTTCGTACGTTAGCTTTCACCGCTTTTTGCACCTAAGGGCGGCGCAACGAATTTCTGATAGGAGCTCCCGTACTCGCGATGGCGGTACCATCTACCAGTCGACGTTGGTGGCTCACGTACATGAGATGGTAATACCATACGGCAGTTGACGGTGGTGGCTTAACTACGCTTACCAACACTGCTCGCTTTTGATGGTAAGGGAAGAACACTCGTGACGCTCCATTTGATTTTATCTACTTAACTACTACTATTAAGTACAT